GTGTGTGTGTGTGTGTGTGTGTGCGTGTCTGTTTGTGTGTGTCTGTTTCTGAGTGCGTGTTTAGTGAGCCCAGGTGTAGACTTTTGGGTTTAAGATTCACGGGTTGGTCTCTTCAACACCTTTAAAGAAAAAGAAAGAAAACAGTCTTCCAAGGTAAGATAACACAACATTGAAAAGAAAAGCTTCTAAACACGTGTGTGTGTGTCTGTGTGTGTGTGTGTGTATGTGTGTGTGTGTGTGTGTGTGTGTGTGTGTGTGTATGTGTGTGTGTGTGTTAAGCCTAAAAGCTACTCACCGAATCCACATGTAGAGCCCAAAGAGTACAACAAGGACCACGACTAAAGCAGCCAGGATTCCAGTGGCCACAGATAGACCCGTCACTTGACTTTCGAGGTCTGGTTTTTAAAAAAAGATGTGTTTAAGAGATTGCTGAAAAAACACAAAAAAACCAAAACTACAATATATTAATATTTAAAGTTTCACTTGACGGGATATCAAACCCATAATTCACTTTCTAAACTTATGGGGAGACCAAGAAATAGCTTTCGAAATTGGATAGTACGAATGGAGCAGGAAGTAAAATTCAACAAAACTAATAAAACACGACGTAGTGTTTTACTACCTTATCCATACGACGTGGGGAACTCTGTGCCACCACTTTCCAAAGAGGAAATTTACTCGTTAATCCGATCCGTACCCTTTGCATAGCAGTCTGTCAAAATGATTTTTTGAGAAATATTAAAAACTTCAAAGAGATCTTTGTACTAGAAGTATTCTAAAAAGTGAAGAAAACAACACCAGGGGTACAAAATAACCCCAGGGCGTATGGATACGGTTAAGCAAAAACGTAAAACCGCTTGTACCTGAATTTTCATCTCTAAGCCTCAGAATTGTGGCTTGGAGTAAAGCCTGTTGACTGCTGTTGGCGTGTGTAGATTCAACTGTTGCAGAAATCTCGGGGGCATTTGTTACACGAGATGGCAAAATAGATGAAACTATGGAAGATGAGCTGTCTGAGCTGTGCTGAAGGTTTGTTCCGTAAGTCAGTGAGGAATATGATGACAATGACGTCATGAAAGCAAGTGTCGACGCATACGGCACGGCAGCGCTACCCATTCCAATGGTCTTTGTCGATCCAGCTCCAATATTTGACATTGTGTGGAGGGGAGGGGTTCCAACTGTAGATGTGTCTGGGTTTGTAGGTCGGGTAATGGTAACGTAAGTGCCTGTTGTTTGAAGATGTGGAGAAAAGGCTGTGTCACTCATAGATGTTGTTCCTACTTCCCCAGATGTCGAAACAGTGAGATAAGTTGAGTCTGTTGTAGAACTAAAGCTAACCTCTATCCCAGTTGTCGATTCCGTTGTCAAGGACGGTTTTCCAGCTGGGACGGACAATGAAAATGACGAAAGATGTGAGAAGGTAGGCGGAGAACGACTGGTGAAGGATGCTGTTATGGGAGTGGAAGTGGTACTGCTGGGGGACAGAACGTCCCTTTGAGATGTCGGTGTCGGTGTCGGTGTCGGTGTCGGTGTCGGTGTCGGCATGACCTGAAAGGGAGATGTCTCGGAGGCTGTAGTTGTGGCGATTATTTGGGATTCTGTTGGCATCATGGCGTCGTTTTTACTTACAGCAGTTGGTGTCAGGTCTCCATTGACAGAAAGTGTTAATGTCCCGAGATCAAGAGGTGATGGCAGTGTTGTGTCACCGACAGAATACTTTGACGTAATTAGGTTTCCATTGATAAGATCGGATTCTTCTGCTGTTGGGGCTGACACTGCTACTGCTGCTGCTGCTGCTGCTGCTGGTGTTGCTGCTACTGTCGCTCTCATTGTTGTCGTTGCTTTTGTTATTCCACTCAGTAGATCACTCGCAGATATGAATTTCATGACGCTGCGATCAGTGCCGATAAGCGATGTCGGAATAACAGTGGGAACATAGTTTACTGTTGTAACATTGTCAGTGGTGTCGTATAATGCCAACGCAGGAAGACTGGATGATTGTAAAGGGCCTTCACTTCTGACAGAAAGGGGTGTCGGCGTGACAGAGGTAAATGACACACCAGACACACTGCCGTCTATCGTAACCTCCGCTGTCGTCTGTAGGATCAAGAGAGACGCCGCGAAGACAAGCATTGATAATGAAACAACCCCTAGGTCTGTGAAGGAGGGAGGAGGGGGGGGGGGAATAATGATGAAACGCATGTGACAAAACGTAGGCTTGAATATCATTATCAGATAACTGACAATGGCAAAGGGAATGTGGGCATAGAAAAAGCTGCACAAAAGAGATTGAAATAATTTTGATAATACTTGCATATTTCTTTCTTGTGGAGCTCTTGGGGAGTATATTAATTTGATGTACGAGCCAAGCTACTTTCATTGCAATCTCTCTCTCTCTCTCTCTCTCTCTCTCTCTCTCTCTCTCTCTCTCTCTCTCTCT